AGCACATTGGGCTGAAGTTTTTGAAAAAGTCTAGTACGAAAAAACTATTGAATCCAACACAAAATCTTCAGCTTATCAAGAGCTGAAGTTTTCAGAAATACACTAAAAAACTTCAGCACATTGGGCTGAAGTTTTTGAAAAAGCATTTACAACAAAACTATTGAATGCACGATGAAAAACTTCAGCTTATTATGTGCTGAAGTTTCATAAATGAACTAAATAACTTCAGCACGTTGGGCTGAAGTTTTTGAAAAAGCTTATGATAAAAACTTCAGCATGTTTTGGTATTTTTTTAAGTTGATACTTATCTTTTTTGTATTTACTATCTACTTTTTGTCTTTTGTCACCTACTTTATCTTTCATTTAAATTTGTTTGACCATATAGTAAATGATCGTAAAAGTTATTTTTCAGGCTGAAGTTATTTTTTTACTATAGAAAAATGTGGGCTTATTAGGGCTGAAGTTACATTTCTTTTTGCATTTACCACATACTTGTTTTATCACCTACTTATCTTGTTTCATTCAATTTCTCTGAACGTAAAACAGTAAAAACACCTGAAAAGTTACTTTTACATTTATAGATATTAAATTGATTAGGTGAACTCTTTGTCTATATTAACAATCTCTTCACTTGAAAATTTCATAGTCATTCATAGACTTCCATCATATTTCTTTAAATTTATATTCATCCTTAGTCTTTCAGCTTTTGTTAAAGAAAGAATGTCTGGTGGAAGCGGAAGTAGGAAGCCTAATTTTGATGAAATCATGCAGAAGTGGGAGACTTTAAAGTGTGAGGGTACAATAACAAACCGATGGCTAATCTTATGCTTTTGTGGGATCAAATAAAGGCTGATTGTGAGAGAATCAGACCAAAGCTCTTTGCCAATGAATCATTCCAGAACAGGCTTAAGCTGGAACGTAGTTGTGGAGGTTATTCAACCTCGTTCGACAAGGTTGTGCAGCAGTTTGATAGTTTTCAGTTTCCCAGCTGGAACGACTATTCCAAGCTGCAAAACAACCTGAAGACTCTTCTTCCTCTTATTGACAGAGTAATCGTCGAACAAAGTCAGCTGCGTGATGAATTCGACAAGTTGAAGATTGATCTCCTTGGATTCAGTGGTCTTTTGCCCGACTACCCTATAGTTATCTCCGATACTGATGATGATGAGATATTTAGAGAAATTGAGGAGTACTGTGATGATGATGATGATGATGATGATGGTGATGGTGGTGGTGATGATTGTTAGTGTTTGTAATCCTTTTTTTAAGTTTTAATGATGTGCTTTTTTGTTCACTTCAGCCCATAGAGCTGAAGTTTTTAGGTTCATTTTGTATAACTTCAGCCAGAGAGCTGATGTTTTTGTTTGTACTTTGTGTGTTGTTCTCATCTCTTTTTGTATCAATGTAATTCTCATCCTCTTTCTTCTTAGCTTTCTATTGCATTATCCTTGTTATTTGTTGGTATTTACTTTATACTTCTTAGTTGGTTTTTATGTTTAGTTTTTGTAATTCTTTTTTATGTTTTTATGATGTGCTTTTTTGTTTACTTCAGCATATTCATTAATGAATATGCTGAATTTATTAAGTTCATTTTCTATAACTTCAGCTTATAGATGCTGAAGATTTTGTTTGTACATGCCTTTCTTTTGTGTGTTGTACGCGTATGTCAGTGTGTGTGAGTGTGTGTATGTGTGTGTGTGTGTGTGTTTGTGTTAAGGATATGTATTTTACATACTGTAACCTGAAGGCTTTTCTCGCAGAAGTCATTGCGTACTTTTTTAAAATGCAACCAAACTTGTAAGCCTGCGCAACAAAAATGAGTGATTTCTACTTTAGCAGTATATAAAATAGTCCAAGAGCTTTTTTTTAATTCCTATGAAAAAAATCACATTTCAAATATGTCATACAATAATGAAAGTCTAAATTCAGACCAAGGATTATTGAAGGTTGGAGTATTTTTCAGTGTGTTTCTTTGAATATGGATGAGGTGCTGGAGAAGACAAGCAAGTTGTTCTGTTATGCCCAACTTGTTTACATCGACTGCATTTGGTAGACTTGAATGGTACTGATTCAGTCACAGGTATATGCCTCTTCATTTGTCTTCTTCCTTGTAAAATCTCTACATCGGGAGATTTTGTGATCTCAGATTGTACATTTTGTGGTATATCCCATGATTTTTGATCTCCCACGGTATTCACATGTCCTTCATATGTTTTCAACCATGTTTCCTTTGAATACCAATTTGAGCAGTAATCAGATTTCTGCAAATATCTCTTATTAATAGCAGTAATTGCATGTGGACAGGGCATTCATCAAGTTGGAATTCCAGGCAGTCATAAGTTCTCTTCTTTAAGTCCACAATGAATTCGATTCCTTCACTATTTATTCTGAACAACATTGAATCAAGGTTGAACACCTAACAAGGAATAAAAAATTAAGACAAACTATATTAGTGTATTGTTGCTTCAAAAAGAAAAAGTATGAAATTTTTTAAATGTAAGCAGTAAATCACTGCAATAGATATAAAAAGCTGAAGTTAATAAATATACTCACAAACATTTTACAAGCCAAGTCCATCTTCTTAGTCATCTCTTCTTCTGCCCATATTGATACTCTGTGAAAAGTTTCATTTACCTTTTTTCTCCGTTCGTAAAACCACTCTCCCAACTTTTCTTGGATGAAATCTAACATTCTTAAAATAGGCATTTCTCTCCCTTTTAGTAAAATGGAATTCATTGATTCTACCATGTTTATTGTTAGCATATCATAACGTCGCCGTGGGAACCACGATCGAGCCTATCTCTTTGGAGGCTCTTCAATTATGTAATTGTATGTTTTCTTGTCAAATACTTTTGAGTTGGGACATTAACTGATTAAAATCTTCACGTCTGTATGACCTTACAGCACTTTGAAAAAGATTTATTACTGTGGCTTTTGCATGTCTTTGCTTTAAATTTTTCTCAAAGTGATAGAGGCAGATACCATGGTGAGCTTCAGGAAAAACTTTTCTAATCCCATTTGCAATTGATTGGTTTCTATCTAACAAGAAAACCAATTCACGACGGACTTGAATTGCTTTTCTCATTTCCCCGAAGAACCAAATGTATCATTATTTTCTGATTCTGCTACACCAAAACATAGAGGAAAGATTTGATTGTTTGCATCCTTTGATACATCAACAAATAGAACACCACGATATTTGGACTTTAAAAACGTTGCATCTACTGCAATAACGAGTCTACAGTAGGACCAACCAGCTACTGATGCCGCAGGAGCAAAGAAAGCAAATCTGTACAGTGAAACAAAAAAAAACAAATCATAAGGTGTGAAAATTTTCAAATAGGAACATTTGCAACTTGAGGCTGATGGTTAGTATTGTTTTGCTTACCTATTCTGCTCATCTCTTTTTATGCTTGTGTACGTTCTTGGGTTTTTGCACACCATCATGTGTAGGTATGAAGGAAGAATCTGGTAGTTCTCTTCAGGTGTTCCCCTTATGCAAGCAACAACTTTTTGAATAGCACGCCATGCCTTGTGATAACCAATGACAATTCCAAATTTCTTTTTTCATTTCATTTTCTACAAAGGCTGGTGTAACCTCCATCTTTTTGTCTCGAACATGTTCTATAATTTGTTCACTTATAAAATTTGATGTAGCATGCTTCTGATCTAATTTTCTTGCATCAACCGAGCATTCATGGATGTTATGATATTTTATCACCCTGAATAGTGTGGAATTTTTTATTCTGGTAGCACGTACATTCCAGTCACATTTGTCCATGATGCATTTCAGCTCGTATCTCTTTGAACATGATCTAACAGCAGTGAATTCAACTTTCTGGTTTATCTCCAAGACGCAGAAAATTTAGTCATGTTTTGTTTGTTCTCAAAAATTGATCCGACTCTTACTTCCTCAGGCAACGCATCGTGCCTAAGTATTTTACATGGTGGAGATTCATTCAGCTTTCTCCTCACTCTTTTTCTTGATTTCTGAGAAGCACAAGAAGTTTCAGCAATTTTTTCAATTCTATCTGATGTTATCGGTATAGGTTCCATGTTTACTTCATCTTCGTTGTTGCTTATCATTGCAGAAGGTAACAAAAAACTTTCTTGGATTCTGTGTTGGTTGTCAATTTGCATTATTAGTTGTCCTTCTTCTTCTTGGTCATCGACAAACTGGTATGAATTTATTGGAGGAGGGGGTAATTGTTGCAGCATTATATATTCTGAAGCAGCTGTAATGTTAGAAGGTTGTTGCTCGTTGTCTACTTCCATTATTGGCTGTCCTACTTCATGTTGGTAATCAGCAAAAGGTTCTGAATCTATCGCATATGCAAGAGATTGTTTGAATGCTGCAGATTCTGAAGGTTGTATTTTTTCGATGAAGAAATGCCAATTCTTGTAGGCTGAATCAGTTGTAAGCAAATGTATACAGGTACTGAGTTCTTCATCTGAAGTTACAAGCATTCCTTTGCTTGTATTTAGTTTGATATCAAACCATACTTTTAGTACATATCTGGTTGAATCAATATTTGCAACTTCACTAATTTTCTTCAGGAAAGTATTGAATGATATGTGCTTATTAAGTAGAACAAGTTTGGTATCATGATCCAAGTATTAGAAATCAGGAGTCTACCTCCCATTGAAATTTATAACAACGCAAATCGGATTCATCCTGCAGACTGTAGTTTTGGTTAAAAGTCATAACAAAAGTGTCAAATGTAGGACAAAAACTTCAGCTCATCACTAAATACACTAAATAACTTCAGCAGTTTCTGCGTAAGTTATTTGAAAAAGCTTTACGACAAATACTATCGAGTCCAGGACAAAAACTTCAGCTTATCAAGTGCTGAAGTTTTTAGAAATGAACTAAAAAACTTCAGCACATTGAGCTGAAGTTATTTGAAAAAGCTTTAGGACAAAAACTATCGAGTCCAGGAGAAAAACTTCAGCTTATCAAGTGCTGAAGTTTTTAGAATTGAACTAAATAACTTCAGCACATTGAGCTGAAGTTATTTGAAAAAACTTTAGGACAAAAACTATCGAGTCCAGGAGAAAAACTTCAGCTTATCAAGTGCTGAAGTTTTTAGAAATGAACTAAATAACTACAGCACATTGGGCTGAAGTTTTAGAAAATGAATTCAACAAACTTGAGCATGTTTCAGCATTAATTGCATAGCATACAGGAGTAAACATAACAAACACAATTAAAGTAGTAATTATATTGCATTGGGTGTATGTGTTAGTGTAATAATTACATTTCTATCACATTCATGCATGCTTTTCTTTAGACAACGTTTAAAATTCCTCTTTGCCTTTTCATATACCATGCAGAAGTTTTTTTCCCCTATAAAAGCACGCTATACTTTGTGAGTTTATTCACTCAAACACATATATTTTAGCAGACATAAAATACAAAAAGGAGAAAAATGGATGCTATCATCAGGCAAATAGTGGAAGAAATCAAGCAAGACATTATAGAGGCCTTTGAGGTGAAACTGGATGAGCTCATAGACAAGTACGACAGAGAGCTGGAAGAAATCAACAACAAGCTTGATACGCTTGTGATGTATGCAAGATTTGACAATCTTGCTGATGAAGATGGTCGTCCATCTGGTAGTGACGACGACGATGATGATGATGATATGGACGATTAGTTTTTCTTTTTGTTATTTATGTAATTTAATTTATCCTTTTTAGTGTTTAATGAAATATTCAGTTTTTGTTATCAGTTTTTTGTGCTTTTTTTTTAATATTAGTTCTATTCAAAATCGAAAAATAGCAGAGGAAATGATTAACTTCAGCTCTTCTTGCTTAAGTATTTAAAGATTAACTGAAAAACTTCAGCACCTATGCTGAAGTTTTTTGTGCAATATATAATTTTATTTTATGTTTTATTTTTTTTTACCCAGTGTAATAGGAAAACTTCAGCTCTTCCTGCTAAAATTTTTAAATATTAACTAAAAAACTTCAGCACCTATGCTGAAGTTTTTTGTGCAATATGTAATCTTAATTTATGTTTTTTTTTATCCAGTCTAGGAGGAAAACTTCAGCTCATATTGCTGAAGTTTTTAAAGATTACGTAAAAATCTTCAGCAACTAATGCTTAAGTTTTTTTGCAATATGAAATTTTAATTTATGTTTAATATTTAACCAGTATAGGAGGAAAACTTCAGCTCGTTTTGCTAAATTTTTTAAATATGAACTAAATAACTTCAGCTTGTTTAGCAAAGAAACAATGATAACACTCATATAACTCGTTTTGCTAAATTTTTTAGATATGAACTAAATAACTTCAGCTTGTTTAGCAAATAAATCAAAAATTTCAGCATATTTGTCGGATTAGAATGTTAGAATTGAACGTCAAACAGATTTAGAATGCAAATTCAGCATATCAGTGAAGTTCGTCAAACAACTTCAATCAATCAAAATTAGATGAATTTGAATACTTACAATATATTTTGTAATTTTGAATTTGGAATTTGAATCTGGTTCAAATCTGGTTTGCGATACGCGATCTCAGGAGAGTCAGAGTGATGGAGGAGATACGGCTCTGGAATTTGAATCTGGGTATGCTTGATGCATCTTTTATGTATTTTGGAAGGGGTATAATGGTCATATTATTACGGATTTTTTGTTAGTTGGTTACGAAATCAATACTTTTTAAAAATAGGGTATAGGTTAAAAGGTGGCATAAATATAGGGTACGGCTGCAAATCGCCCACTTAAATTGTCCTATCAGCATAGCATATGTATCGAGTATCGACGCACCCAATCAACCAAAACTTATGAAATAATTTAGGGGGATTTGCATCTATACCCGCTTTTTGGGTCACGTTTTAACTTGTGCCCACTTTGTAAAAAAAATTGCAAGCGTACCCACTTTTTCGCGTAACTTTAGCACACGGGGCTGAAGTAGCAAAGGCAATCACGCAAAACTTCAGCATTCTAGTAGACGGGCCTGAAGTAGCATACTTATGGCAATCATCCCATGAACTGAATTTTCATAGCAGCACCAACAGCAGCAGAAGAAAGAAGAAGAAAATGAAGGAGGAGGAGAAAGGAGGCTGAAATTGTTTAAAAAGTGAGTACAAGTTAAATCTTTTAAAAAAATGGGTATAGGTTAAATAGGGTCGACCAAATAGGGCGCCCCGTGCAATTTTTACAATAATTTAAGAGCATTAGTTTAGACTTGGATTGCAAATTATAAACTGTAATTCAAGAACAATAGACTAGACAGTCATGAAAACTAAAACTTTGACATTAAAATTCAACCCTACGAAATTAAACGTCTCTATGCGAGGACCCGCACAGGATTAACTTTTTACATCAGAAAGATCAACACATATTCTCACCCTTTTTCTCTGTTTTTTTTCTTCTTGGGGTGGTAGTAAAACAAACTTGGAAAATAGAAAAAACAAGATGAGTACAAATTAATTAAGGTCCTACATGGGTGGCGCTATGTAACAACAACAACTATGTCTTAGTTCCAATACAAGTTGGGATCGGCCTCAATTCTCCGTGTAATTAAGGGCACTTGGTCCTGTTGCCATGAGTAGTCATATCTGTATAGCATTTGCCGCACACTTCTCTATTACCAGAAGTGCCAGGAGGAACACATTTGCACCTCACACAACAAGTCCCACAGGCTCTGGTGCATACATTTGGCCTTGAGTGTGAGCTGCATCTCACTTTGCACAGTCCTCCACAATCTGTACTTCCCAACAAAAAAAGCCATCAAAATAGAGCTATCAAAACTCAAGTTTTTTTTCTTGTTCTATTCCTTTCAAAATTGAAATAGATTGAGAAAATTGATGCTTACCTACATACGGTAAGAGCCTCCTGTTACCTCCTTTCACCACCTGATAAAGATTTGCACATACAATGTCAAACAAGAAAAATTATTCATGCTTAATGTTTGAAGCGTCAATAATGTAAAATGAGGGGCTTACATTAGAGCTTCAAAAAGACAGATGGGCCAAGCTTTGATACTATGATAAGAAGGTGAGTTTTGAACCTAGTTCAACCTCAAAAAATAAGGTAGCGTTTGGCCATAGATTCCCAAATTTGTTTTGAAAAATCTGATGGATGAAGTTTGATTTGAAGATGAAAATGTGTTTAGACATACGTTTTCAAAACATATTTCCCAAATTTATTTTGGAAAACATGTATATTATAAGTGTTTGTAAAGATTTTGGGCCAAAACCAGCTATTATTGAGCTGGTTTTGGGATGTGGCATTTTGCCAAAATATAGGCAAAATCTATGGTCAAACATGTGTTTACCAAATAAAACCCAAGTTTATTTTGGCAAAATCTATGACCAAACGGGTCCTAATGCTGGTAATTTTTGAACCTAATTCAACCTCAAAAAATAATAATGCTGGTCATTTTTTCAACCAATATGGAACACTCTAACACAGTTCACTCTTTTTGGAAAGTTTGGTGCATTATAGTTCAATTTAACCACCACGGCACGACCCATAACTTATCTGGAATGACTTTTCATAATTTTAGAACAAAAAATTCTGCCGTTTAGTTGAAGTATCAATTTTCGGTTAAATGATGGAAAAAGAGTAAAGAAACACCTGACTTTGGTTTTCTTCAATATCAGAAGAGACCTGCAAAGAAAATAACATTAGACTAATTCCACAAAAGAAAAAAATTGTATGGGAATAATTAGGTGAAAAATGGTTTTAAACTTTACATGAGGAAGTAGGCAGAAGAGGAAGAAGGTGAAAAGTAGAAGCAATCTTGAAGTCATTTTTGTTGAGTTTTTGAATGAGACAGAATGTCTTCTTGCTCTTTGCCTAAGTTTCTTTGTAGTTTGGGACTTCTTTTATGGGTGTAAGAAAATCAGTGCCTGCAATTTATAGGAATCTCGTGATGTAATTGCCCTTAGTTTTATTTTAAATATTTCCCGATCCATAATAAGTGATCAATTTGCTTTTTTATTTTGGTCCAAAATAAGTGTCCATTTGTATAATCAAAAAACAATTCAATTTGTTTTTCCAAAATTATCTTCATGCACGTATCCTTAGAAAAACTTTTACTCCTCACATTAACTATGCTGCAACATTTAATTAAGCGTAATTAGTCATACTAACTACTTTTGTCTAAAATTTATTATTTTCTTAATGGGTGTGCCAAAAGCAAATTGGTCACATTTTGTGGACCAGAGAGAGTAACAGCTTATTCATGCACTCAACATGGATCATCAAAGTGGAACAGTCAATCCTGGTCTTCCTTTTTTTTCTTTCTTTTGTTGTTATTCACTTCTTTAATATGAGTACTATTTCTATCATATTCGAAATTTACTAGCTCGATCAATTCGGTTCAATTAAAACTCACGGAGGAAGGTAGCAATGCTCCTGCAACAAAAGTTCTTCATTTATAGAGTTTGAACCTGTAATCTTTGACTAAGGATAGTGAGATCTCAATCAATCCACCACTTCTTTTATCTTATTTATATCGTAATTTGTTATTTTTGGGTAACAAAATATGGTGACACTCATGGTTTTTAGCTAAATAAAACATGATTGCTAACTTCAAAAGATAGTAAGTACTAATTTATTACTTATTACAATTGATTATATTATAGTGATGGTATTAAATCTAGTTATACTCTATACTTATAGAAGTTTGTTAGGAGTCTTGTATCTATTAACTTGATCAAAACACTTATCAGAGTGGTGAACATATAGCATTAATTATCTCTTAATGTAATGACCCGGCCGGTCGTTTCATGAGTTACCGCTCCGTTATCACCATTTCTGCTTCTTATTGTTTTGTTCAGTTGTATTATGTGTTATCGGGTTGGTTGGCTCGGGTTCGGAGAGGTTTTGGTAAGGTTTGAGACACTTAGTCTCTTTTGAGAAAGCTTAAGTTGGAAAAGTCAACCGGATGTTGACTTATGTGAAATAGGGCTCGGATGTAAATTCCAATGATTCGGATAGCTTCGGGAGGTTATTTGGGACTTAGGAGTGTGATCGGAACGTGTTTTGGAGGTCCGGAGTAGATTTAGGATTGAATTGGCGAAATTGAAATTTTGGCGTTTTTCGGTTGATAGGTGAGATTTTGATATAGGGGTCGGAATGGAATTCCGGGATTGCAGTAGGTCCGTTGTGTCATTTGGGATGTGTGTGCAAAATTTCAGGCCATTCGGACGAGGTTTGATAGACTTTTTGATCAAAAGCGGAATTCGGAAGTTTTAGAGTTCTTAGGCTTGATCCGATGTGTTTTGGTGGTTTCGATGTTATTTGAGGTATTTTGAAGATTGGTATAAGTTTGGATGGTGGTATATGACTGGTTTGTGCTTTTGGTTGAGGTCCCGGGGGCCTCGGGGTGATTTCGGACGATTGACGGAAAGTTTGGAGTTGAGTTTGGGAGCTGAAGCATTTTTTTTCCTGCTGTCATAACCGCACCTGCGGTTGGGAGGCCGCAGGTGCGATGCCCGCAGAAGTGGAAGGCAGCCGCAGGTGCGGCCAAGGAGAAGATCAGTTGGAACCGCAGAAGCGGCTAAGGAAGCGCACCTGCGGTAGCGCAGGTGCGAGGAAACAACCACAGATGCAGAACTTGGACGTTAAGTGAAAACCGCAGATGTGGTGTCTTGGGCCGCAGAAGCGGTAGCGCAGAAGCGTGTTTTGGGCCGCAGGTGCGAAAAAACCTGGGCCAGAAGGTATAAAAGAATTCCTTCGCGATTTTTGAGTTGTTTTTCACCATTTGCATGCGGGTTGGAGCTTGGGGGAGCTATTTGAAGAGGGATTTCAAGGGGATTTCATAGAGGTAAGGTTTTTGAACCCTAAACTCGTTTCTATGGTGTTATTTCACTGATTTGGCTTGGAAATTAAGGGTTAAAAATTGAAAAACTAGGGCTTGAGATTGGAGACCTTTGAGAAAGGGTTTGAGGGATCTTTTGTGGTCGGATTTTAATACTTTTGATATGTATGAACTCGTGGGGGGATAAGGAGTCTATTGATGTAAATTTTATAGAATTCCGAGACGTAGGCCCGGGGGTCGGGTTGGACCAATTTCGGGAATTTTGGTATAATTTGATTGCATTTGTATGGGCTTCGTTCCCTTAGCTTATTCTAATGTTATGATTTTGATTTTGGGTAGATTCGACGCGAGTTGAGGCCGAGGCGAGAGGCAAAGGCGTCGCGGAGTAGTATTTCACCCGGTTTGAGGTAAGTAACCATTGTAAATCTGGAACTAAGGGTATAAAACCCCGGTATTTTGTTGATTTGATAAATGAGGTGACGCACATGCTAGATGACGAGCGTGTGGGCGTGCACCGGTAGGGATTGTGACTTGGTCCGTCCCGTAGCGACTATTAAGTCGCGTACTTGATTTGAAATCTTATGATATCACGTATTTTAGAGATTGATACTATATTATGGGCTGTATGCCATGTTTGGGGCCTTGTGCCGACTTGTTGAGACCCTTAGGGGCATTTTTACTATTTTCCTCACTCTATTTGTTTGAAAGCATATCCTCAGTCATGTTTTACCTGTTTATTGTTTAAACCTGGTTTTTATCACTCTGCTTCTTAAAATATGAAAACTGTTTGGGCTGAGTTTTCCTGATTTCCACTGTTATGCCGAGGGGCTGTGAGGTTAATGACTGAGAGAGGTTGAGGACCTAATCGTGANTATATATATATATATATATATATATATATATATATATATATATATATATATATATATATATATATATATATATATATATATATATATATATATATGCAGCAGTATTATATATATATTGGACCGGGCTGCGCGCCGCAGCGATATGACGCTTGGGCTGTAGGAGCCCCTCCGGAGTTTGTACACCCCCAGTGAGCGTAGTCGACTATAAACTATGGATCGGGCTGTACGCCACAGCAATTATTATGACTATTACTACTATGAGATATTATTGAGCCTGAGTGCTGAGTGTGAGTACTGTGTGACGAGAGTTGAGTCACGAGTGACCGAGAGGCTTGCCCAAGAGGCTATATTTGTGAGTGATACATTGCCCGAGGGGCCCATTTATGATATTGTTGCTGATTTCACTCTTCCTTTTATAATGAGCCTCTGTTGAAAAATGCTAAGTAAATGATTTCAAAGTATTAAAATTTAAATTGAAGTTTTACGAAGTAACTGGCTTTTAAATTGTTGAGTTTGACTTGATATTCTGTTGTATACTCTTATATATGATTTTTAACTGCTCGTCACTGCACTCAGACCTTATTTACTTTAGTTACTTACTGAGTTGGCGTACTCACGTTACTCCCTGCACCTTGTGTGCAGATTCAGGTGCCCGAGCGGCAGAGTGAGGGTTCCCAGCATTTTCGGAGCTTCTCGGAGACTGCAAGGTAGCTGCACGGCGTCCGCAGCCCTGCTTTCCTCCTTCCTATCCTTGTTTTTCTGCATTTTAGACTTATCATGTATTAGACAATCGGATTGGTTGTATTTAGAGGCTCTAGACTTGTGATACCAGATGGTTGGGCTGTGTTTGGTTGTTGATGATCACGGCCAACTATGCCTTATAAAAAGGACTAAGCGGTCGCTGCAAATATATTCCGGTTTACAAGTCCGAAGTCGAATCCCACAGAGAACTAAGGTTTAGCTATAGCTGTTCACTATCACCAAGAAGACAAGCTTGAACAATTCCTAACTTATAGATATTAATATTCTTGTGTTTAACTACTTAACTAACAAATTAAAATAGTAAATTAACAACTAATTCGCTTCCGAGGGTTAGAGAAAAGATTAAGGAGGTCTAGAGTTATGATATCCGACTCAACAAAGAAACGCCTATATCACTTCCAAGATTGAACAAAACTACTATTTCGCTTTGCAAACACACAGGGCAAGTTCTAGGCATCAAATGCAGTGCACTGAATAACGCAAAACCTTACACACACATGGCACATAACTCACTCAGGATTGGATTCATAGACACTCTAGTCAAAGCAGTTAAGCAAAGTTAAGATAATACAATTTAAGGTACTTATACAAGAGTCAAAAATTGAGCCTAAGCGTCACAACCAAAGTACTCACTATTCTCAAGGCATAACAAAGTCAAGAGATGTTGCTTCAATTCAAAACTCAACACAATGGCTCCTATTCCTAAAAAAAATTAACTACACCCGGTTCAAACAAAACCCTTGGAAAAGAACCGCGGCACAAAGAAAAACCAAGGGGGAATTATTACACTACCTAACAAAAGAAAATCTTTTTTTTTAGACTTAAATCCCTCAAGAAAATTGTCTAATAGATCCATCGTCGGGAAAAGTCCAATCTTTTTTTTAAAAAAAATTATTAAACTAACACAACTAAAATAGCATAGAAAGTCACCCAGACGATCTCCTCACCCCACACTTAAAATTTTGCATTGTCCCCAATGCACACCATAACTAATAAAAAGGGTAAAAGAGACTCCCTGGTAGGCCAAAGGTCAAAGCACTACAGCTCATGGGGTACTCAGACTTCTCCCCAGCTTGGTCCTTCGTGCGGGTACCTCACACTTAGTTCCAACCATTTGGTTTGCTGTCGCATTCTTCCAATACCTTTGCTTTCCATGCTCCTAGAAAATAAAAAAATTGACACTACAAAAATAATACAATTAAAATAATAAAAATAAAAAAAATAAATAAAAGAAAGCAATAAAGCTGGGTTGTCTCCCAACAAGCGCTTGATTTAACGTCGCGGCACGACGTGAATCACTTTCTGCCTCCACTTTGAACTTATGAATCGGACCCCAAGTTTTGATTCTGCTCTATGATCATGCTCCTGGGGTGGTGGAACAAATCTGACTGGCCCAATAAAATAATGTAGTATTCTGCACTTCTTGGCCTTTATATGAGGTGTGTAATCCCGA